AATTGAAAAAATCTGGTTTTTGTCATCATCAAAAAGGGGGAGATTGTTAGAACATAGTTTGATTCTACAACCCTTAATTAGAGTTTTGATGATAACAAAATACAAGAATAAAATGAATTCAAAGATATATTTATATAGAACAAATATGCTGCTTAAAATTATGGTTTGTGTAAACAGGTATACAGAAGTTCTGATGGAATCAGCATCAGAAGATCAGCAACATATCAGCACCAGAAGATCTATAACATATGCTACACGCTGAACCTACCAGATCATACGCTGAAGCCTGATGACCAGAATCTGCGCGTAAAACACTCTGACTCTGATCAAGATCTTCACCAAGTCATCAGCATTCAGAAGCGTCAGCATCAGTTAAAGCAGAAAATAATCTGAAGCGTTGCTATGCATTCAAGACAGATTAATTACCAACGGCTTTATTCAAAGACAAGATCTTCTCAAATAGGAAAGAACGTTATTATCATTGAAAGTGATTTATGGCCAACAACGTCTCTTTGCCTTGGCTATAAAAACAAATCTATGTGAGAAAAGAAAAGGCTAATCATCTACGCACGCTTTCATACATTGCTAAGCTTCTCAAATCACTCCTACTCAAACGCATTAGCAATCCAGTTTTCACTCTAAGCTTAACTTTGTTTATTATCACAGTTGTGGTATACTGTTTTATTAGAAAACATCAAACACATTCTTTGTTTAATTATTTGTAAAGAGAATTCCTTGAGATAAATCGGATTGTGGTTATACTCAAGAAGGCTTTGACAGTTGTTAAAGTAGTTGTTGTATTCTGTTGAATATAGTGGATTAAGACCTCGTTGGAGAGAGGCGAAATCACCTTGATGGGTGGACTGGAGTAGTTTGAGATCAAACGAACCAGGATAAAAATACCGTGTTGTCTAGCTTTTGATTTTAAGTTTTACAATTCAACCCCCTTCTTGTGTTTTTCACATCTTCACTAATTACTTTAAGAACTTTGTAAAAATAAGGGGAAACCGTATTTTCTTAGTCTTGGGTCTTAAGGGTTCTTTAAGGGGTTTCTATTTTTCTTTATACGTCCTCATACGTCTCTTGATGCATTTGAGTTGACTGATTGTTACTTGACAATTTGTCAAGTTATTGTTCTCACTCTAAATCTTTTAAGCAAGAGTTTGAGTATTGTGCTTGAAGTGAAAACTTCAGTTTTTGTTTGGTTTCGCGTCAGTGTGATTGTGGCTACATTATAGGTTGTCACTGGGATTGGGGCAGGTCTTTTATCACCGCGGTGATTGGAAGTGAGATAATGATTTCTCATATCTAGGAGGTGTCTAGGTAGAAGTTGTATTGGGTAGGGATTAAGAGATAAGTTATAAACTGGGACTGTTTAGGCTTAGAATTAATACTGTTGATAGTGGATTTCCTTTCTGGCTTGGTAGCCCCTAGAGTAGGTGAGTTGCACCTAACCGGGTTAACAATTCCTTGTGTTATTTTATCTTCTGCATTTAAATTTTGCATTGTTTAATTTTGGTAAACGTTATGACAGTCTGCAGATGTCGTAACATCTGTCATGACATTATGCTTGTGTGTTAAGACATTAGTCTTGACAAATTTATTATGTGTGTCATACTTTCAAATGGTATCAAAGAAGGCACCATGTTCTGTTTTTCGGGTGAACTCTAGGGAGAATATTTTCTAGTACTATATACATCAAAGGAGGATATGTTAACAAACCACTTATGTTGGATTGTAAAACTATGTCCAGTGGAAGGTTAGAATGATAGCCTTTTTAAAATCCATGCATAGGAAATCTTGGAAGGTTACGTACAAAGGATGAAACCATTCCAGTGTGAAGGAAAAATAAGGGAATGAGTACTTGAAGCCAAAAGAGGATTGATCCAGAGAGGAGAATGAATTAGCTCTTGTTGACTCCAATGTCTTGAATGCTCTATTCATTGAAGTAAACAAGGATACTCTCATAAAAATAGATACATGCACTACTGTTAAATATGCCTGGGAAATTCTCAGGACAACTTGTGAAGGTGATGAACCCTCTGAGGAAGAGTCTGCCAAAACTATAACCACCTTAACAGGAAGGTGCAATTCTATGGTAGAACAAATTTCTTATGTTGAACTACTGGTGTCCTACAAAGATCTGTACAAAAAGGTTGAGGAAGTCTGTTAAATAGGAGTAAAACAAAGAATGATGATAGCTAAATTTCATACTCAAAAGGATGAATACCTAGATGACATTGTTGAACTTCAAGCAGAGGTAACCTTGCTAACATCAAAACTTGATAATTTAAGCAAATGTTTTAGAATGTTAAACAATGGATCTGATGTACTGGATGAAATCCTTCAAATAGAATAAGGAAGAAGGCATACTCGTATAAGGTTTATATATCAATCCTTGAAAAACAAAGGAAAAGTTTCTGAGACAAAATTTGTCCCAGCCAGAATAAAGGATGAAAGTAAGATGTCTGATCAAATGTCACAACATTCTTCCAGACCACAGGAAGCTCAGACAAAAGTCCAAATACAACCATTGACATGTCATTTCTGTGGCAGATATGGTCACACAGAACATGTATGTAATAGGCTTCGTGGATATCACAAACATCTATCTCAACCTAGTATAAGTACCTCTGTGATCAAAACTAGGAAGGAGTGAAAAGTTAAAGATGTTATAAAGAATTTCATTGCTCATACTTCACTTAAGGTGTCATCTAGTAAAGAGTGGTATTTTGACAGTGGATGCTCTAGGCATATGACAGGTGTGGAGAACTTGTTGATATATGTTCAACCCCATACTACCAGCTATGTTACTTTTGGAGATGGTGCCAAAGGAGTATTTAAAGGTGTTTGAAGACTAGCTTGTGAAGGATATCTTAAACTTAATAGAGTCTTATTTGTAAAAGGTCTGAATGCTAACCTAATTAACATTAGTCAGCTATGTGATCAAGGGATTAAAGTGCACTTCACGAAATCTGAATGTGTGGTCACCAATAAGGAGAATGAGGTGCTAATGAAAGGAGATAGGTCCAAGGATAATTTCTACTTATGGACACCCAAAGGAGTCAGTTATACTTCCATGTGTATGTTGTCTAAAGATGATGAAATCAACCAGTGACATCAAAAACTTGGTCATTTACATCTCAGAGGTATGAATAAAATTAAATCTAGAGAAACAATCAGGGGGATTCCTAATCTCAAGATTGAGGAAGGAAGGGTCTATGGAGAATGTCAAATAGGGAAGCAAATCAAGATGTCATATCCAAAGCTTCAACATATAACTACTTCAAAACCCTTGGAACTTCTTCATATGAATTTGATGGGTCCTATGCAGGTTGAAAATCTTGGTGGAAAACGATATGCATATATTGTTGTTAATGACTTTTCAAGATTCACCTAGATAAATTTTGTCAAGGAAAAGTCAGAAGTCTTTGATATCTTCAAGGAATTGTGTCAAAATCTTCAAAGAGAAAAGGATGACAACATTGTTAGGATCAGAAGTGATCATGGTAGGGAATTTTAAAATAGCAAGCTTACTTGATTATGTGCCTCTGAAGGTATTAGTCATGAATCCTCATCACCTATCACTCCCTAGCAGAATGGGATTGTGGGAAGAAAGAATATGACATTGCAAGAATCAACAAGAGTTATACTTCATGCAAAGAAGCTGCCATACCATTTTTGGGTAGAAGCAATGAATATTGCTTGTTATATTCATAATAGAGTCACCCTAAGAACTGGAACCTCAATTACTCTATATGATTTGTGGAAGGGGAAGAAGCCTACAATCAAATACTTTCATGTGTTTAACAGTAAATGTTACATCTTGACTGATCATGAGTCTCGTAAAAATATAGATCCCAAGAATGATGAAGGGATATTTCTTGGCTACTCTATAAGTAGCAGAGCCTATAGAGTTTTCAACAACAGAACTCAGGTCATGATGGAATTTATAAATGTTGTGGTTGATGATTCAAGCACATACAATGTACATGATGATGAAGACAATGTTGGGACATCATTCCAAATAAATGGTGAGTCTAAAGAGGTGAGAGTAGTCAACAACAATACTGAGGCTACTAATGTTGAACCAAATGACAATCAAGTTAATAAGGGTCCATCAATCAGGACTTAGAAAGATCATCCTAAAGAATTCATTATAGAAAATCCTAATCAAGGGATCACTACTAGATCAAGAGAAGTGGTTTCTAACTCCTGCTTTGTATCAAAGATTGAACCCAAGAATGTAAAGGAAGTCTTAACTAATGAATTTTGGATCAATGCTATGCAAGAAGAACTGAATTAGTTCAAAAGGAATGAAGTTTGAGATTTAGTCTCTAGGCCCAGTGAAACAAATGTCATTGGAACAAGGTGGGAATGCAAGAATAAAATTGATGAAAGTGGAACTGTCACAAGGAATAAGGCAAGACTTATGGCACAAGGTTACACTAAGATTGAGAGAGTAGACTTTGTGTCATACCCCAAATTTGCCCTACCCTAATCTAGGTTTTTTCTTCAAATAAATTTTATTATTTAGTTTTCACTTTTATAGGGGTATTTAAAGTCAAAGGGTTGTGTTGATGTAAAATAGACCATCAATATACGATGGTCTATTAAGTCTTAAAATTTGTTTCAAGTTTAAAAATGGGAGGTGCATCGTTTTAATCAAAGGAGGTGTGAACAATTTTGTTTTTGTTTAAAAGCCCAATGAATTAAAATGATGTGGCCCATTAAGGTTTTTTATTTCATTAGAATTTGGGTTGGTTTTTTTTTGTTTAAAATTAAACAAGTCCAAATTGAAAATACACGGGCCTTTCAACTTTTTGTTTGTTTTGAAAATTGGTCCTGATTATAATATTATCGTTAACGGTACTATTATGTTGTTTAACTAACAATTATTACTAATCAATTATTAAAACTTTTTATTTTTTATTTGTTTTTATATCATCAACTAACAGAAAGGTCATTAACAAAAGAAAAAAAAGGCTCTTCTTTTAAATATGTGTGGCCCATTGTACAGTCCAAAACCAGGCAAGCCCAAAGCAATAAAAAAAGGCATGTGCCGAAAAGAACCAAGCGTGTGTTTCAGTAGGAAAATATTGTCCAGATTTTTGTTCATCAATCAGGCATATCTATACATTCAAATAAGCCGAAAACATAAAAAATCAGAACAGTTTAAGGCTTATTAAAAGTGGATGAATCAAAATAGGAACAAAATCAACTCAAAACAGAAACAACTTTATTCAGCATTCAAGGACTAATTCAATATAATACACGCGACAACCGGCCGATAGCGCCGTCCTTCTCTGATATGTTCCCAGCCACCGCATGCAAGAACCGTCGTGCCACCGCACAGATCCGGATCCGGATCCGGATCCGGTAACAATTTTCTTGATTTTGTTTTTTTATTTATGATGTTTGATTATGGTGTTAATTTGAGAGTATATTCATTTTGGGATTTTTGTGGTTGATGATTTGTAAACAATGGAAAAGAAATATACAGGAAAGAAGAAAGAAGCCATTTTTCTTTTACTGATACTGTTGCGTTTCTATATCATTGTCCCTTTTATTGTTTTATTTTTTTTGTATAACAAAAATTCCGCCACGTGTTGTAATATTAGTGGTCTTTACTAAACATTGGAAGAAGTCAAGGCCATCAATTTCTCTAATCACGTTATTTTGGGGAAAGGAAGCAACACCTCACGTTGCTAAATTTTATATTTTTTAAAAATGTTAGTTTATATATTTCTTATATTATTATGTTTTTAATTATCATGTTAGTGAGTAAGATAAAATTAAAGTCAAAGAAATGGGCCTTAGTTTGTTTCTATCATTTTATTAAATCTACCCCATAATACAATTTGCACCCCACTTTGAAATTATCTATTTATTTATTTACTTTTAATAATTTCATTTCTGTATTCATTTATTTATTTATTTTATTTATATATGTATTTGTATATTTGTATTTTCATAATTATAATAGCATATCATTATTTATTATTATAATTGATTTTGTATTTTAAACTCAGTTAAAAAAATATATTATTTATTTATATTAAATTATATCCTCTGATCATGTACTTAAAAACATTTCTTGTCATATAATTTAATTTAATATTTTATATCAAAATATTAAAATTCGCGCGATTCACCAAATTATTATAGCTGCGAGCGACACGTGGCCAATATCTGGCCACGTGATGAGGAGACTATATCAGACTCCCTCGTTCTATGTCTTAAAAATATTTTGGCCACCTGTTACAATTAAGTTTCGAAAAGGATTACTAATATATTTAAATTAACTGCGTACTTGGTCTAACAAACTCCTCTATTCACACTCTTAGACTATATATGTGTGGAATTCAAAATATATTTCGCAACCCATAAAAAATACAAACAAAATCGCGAACTACGAAAATGAGACTCTGATTCCTCCTAAGGAGGATACGTAGGCATACGATCAAAAATAGTTGCGAGTCCCGCTAACTAAAATTCAAACCCTTTTCCCAAATAAATAATTAAAACCCTATTTCCTAAAAACACACCTCTAAACCTAGTATCCTTGTGAACAAGGTAGACAAGGGGTGCCTAACACCTTCCCCTCGTCTAGAACCGAGTCAAACTTAGAATCTCTGAATTTCTTTTAGGGTTATTCCTTTATACTCCCTTCCTTTAGGATAAAAATTAAGGGTGGTGACTCTGATTTAAAAACCAGTTGCAACACTTTGATTAAAACTTTTCTCTAATTGCAAGACTTGAGTCCATCAGGTTAATGCTAGGAGTAGCTTGCTTATTGAAGTTTAAGCTATTTCAGATGGATGTGAAAATTGCTTTTTTGAATGGGTACTTACATGAATAGGTTTACATTGAATAACCCAAGGGGTTAATTGATCCTACTTTTCTAGATTATGTGTTCAAGCTAAAGAAATCTCTATATGGATTGAAGCAACCTCATAGGGCTTGGTATGAGAGGTTGACATAATTTCTTGTCAATAATGGATATAGGAAAGGAGGAATAGATAAGATCCTGTTTGTTAGACAAAAGGATGGAAAACTCATGATTGCTCAAATATATGTTGATGACATTATGTTTGGAGGGATGTCAGACCAGATGGTCCAACATTTTGTCAAATAAATGCAGACAGAGTTTGAGATGAGTCTTGTTGGTGAATTGATGTATTTTCTTAGACTACAAATGAAACACATGGGTGACTCTATCTTTATTTCTCAGATAAGTATGCCAAGAACATAGTCAAGAAGTTTGGATTAGAAAATGCAAGTCACAAAAGGATACCTGCTCCCACACATTTGAAACTATCAAAAGATGAAAAAGATGTTGGTGTTTATCAAAGTTTATACAGAAGTATGATTGGTAGCTTGTTGTACCTTAATGCTAGCAGACTTGATATCACCTTTATTGTTGGGGTTTATGCAAGATATAAAGCTGAGCCTAAAATTAACCACCTCAATCAAGTGAAGATGATTTTTAAGTACATCAATGGTATTAGTAATTGTAGCATGTTATACTCTCATGGATCAGATTCCATGCTAGTAGGGTACTGTGATGCAGATTGGGCAGGGAGTGCTGGTGACATGAAAAGTACTTCAGGTAGTTGTTTCTGATCTTACCTGATCAGACTTGGACCGTCACGACTGGCTCCAGGCAGAATTTGAGTGAGATGAGGGGGGGGGGGGGGTACCTGCAAGGCACTCCGATGCTAAAATGAGTGACGGAATGAGCAGGAAAAAAGTGTATATATGCGTAAGAGATGAATACCTGACCCTCTAGGAATAGAGGGTATTTATAGCCCCCAGCGCGGGGCCAAGGTCCCCTCATTGGGCCAACCAGAATTGGCCTAATAAAGGAACTGCCAGGTTCTACGTGTGTAGTGGGGACCCACACGTGGTCCCCTTCCTGGTGATGCTCTGCGAGAAATGAGGAGGGACAAAGACGCGGTCTTTCCGGAGTTTAGATGATTTGGTAACTGTCAGAATCTGCCCTACGAGGAGGGTGCTCGAGTTGGGCTCGAGCTGGAGTTCCCGTGGTCGGGGACACCATGGGCAACGGCGGGTACGACTGTAGTCTGTGGTCGGACGCGCTGGCGGGAATCCGCGGGCGCGCGTTCCCCGAGGAGCTGCTTGGATTGGGCCTTTGTTCTTGCTTTTGGGCCAGGGCGGGACCATTCCAGAACAGGAGCCCCCCAAGTCGTGGCTCTTGGAGCAGGAGTTATGACTTGACTTCAGCTCGCCTTTGCCACGGGGTCTGATGCCCGGCCTAGGATATTGCTTCCTCGTGATTGCTCGAGAAGTTTCTCATGAGTTGCGTTTGTAGCGTAATCCTCGCCGATGCGTGCTCGGGGGATTCCTTGCGGGCTGTGTTCGTTGGGTACACGAGGCAACCCTTGGGAACCATGACGCCACCCTAGCGACAATAGGGCCATCATTGCCTAGGGGAGTAGACGTCGAAGAGAGGAAGTTCGTGGTTCCCCGGGGCGACATTTCGTATTCCACGTCATCCCTATAAATAGGATCCTTGGGTCCCATAATTTGTTTTTCCTCTCCGCGCCTCTCCTTCTTCCTCTTCCTTTGCCGCCACTGTTCTTCTACAACTTCGCAAGATTACCGCACCTTCCTCCGTTGATTTCTTTTACCGCTGCCGTACATTCTTCTTTACTTCCAAGTAAGCATTTATCCCTCATATTTTTCTTTGTTGTAGGTAGTTTTTACCGTTATTTGGATGTTAGAAACCCATATCTAGGATTAGTGCCCGGTACATTCATGTTTGTGCCCGGTAAACTCATAGCTTTAGGTATGTGACTCGCGATGCTGCCCGGGACCTTCATGGTTTCAGGCGTATAATCTATGATACTTCCCGGTAAACCCATAGTTCTAGGCTTAGGATTCATGATATTGCTCGTCACATTCATAATTTAGGTCGGCGCACCCATGAGCTGACCGGGATGTTAACCCATTAGGAAGTATGTAGGACAACTTGTCGTTGCATCTTAGCATCGGGGAGGCGAAACCAGGATCTTGTTCGAGTCCTCAATGTTTTATCGCGCGCAGTGTCCAGGCTATCCTCTTGTTGTTCCCGACGTCTGGTCGAGCATGTCTTGGTTTGTCGTGCACTACTTCCCATCAGTTATGGCGAGCATATGGATTTGCTCTCGAATTTCACCTGTTTCCTGTGCTTTGCAGGTAAATGGCTGACGAATCGGAGTCTTTGAGGCGTAATGAGGTCGAGGACCAAAGTGTCGAGGAGAATGTAACTCTAGTTGATACCGTCGATGATCCTTCGTTGGATTGGGTGGGCGCCGAGCCCCGAGGGATTGCCTCGGCGTATTATCAGCGTAGTCGGTGCGTATACACTATCGTCGAACACGGCGGTAGTCAGTCGGGTTTCTAGAAGAATTTTGTTGTGACAAGGCCGTCCCTCGATGCACGAATATGCTCGGAGTTCTCCGAGCATGGGTTTCCAATGTATGAAATCGTGTTCAAGGATCTCGGCCTTAAGCTCCCTTTCAGTGATTTCCAAGTCGGGGTATTCTGCCATCTGGACTTGGCCCCCTCGCAGCTTCACCCCAATTCGATCGCCTTTCTTCGGGCGTTCGAGCTGACATGCCGCTTCTTGAGGATCGGGGCGACCATTCCTCTTTTCTTCAGAGTTTTTCACTTGCAGCGCCAGTCTCGAGGAGGCAGGCATAACTGGGTTTCCCTCAAACAGTCGAAGAGGCTGTTCAGGATGTACATGGATTCGGTCTGGGGCTTCAAGGACAAATGGTACGTCCTGCATCCGGTCACCCAGACTGCTTTGGATTCTATGTATGAAGAGGAAACCGCAGTGGCTGACGAGAACGGGGAGCCTCTTATGGACGCTGAGGGTCGCCCGGTGGTGGGGCGTGTTTCCAAGTTCCCGTTGCATTGGTGCTCGCGCCATTATGAGCATGGTATCGGGCACTACCATACGCCCGCGGAAGGAATGAGTGTCGAGGATGAGGAAGCCTATGGTACCCTTTGCAAGTATGTCGACAGCTTCTTCCCTGCCCGGTGGGTCACGAGGGAGGGGGAACACATTCTTGACGAGGAAGGTTACCCGACATTCGAGGCCCGTCCTATCGATACCAAGGCGCTTGTCGAGTGCCAATTCTACGGGCAGGCCGTAGGTCTACTAGGTTGCTTTTTTTCT